ATATCAATACCTGTTTAATATGAGAAATTTGAATTTAGAATTATATTTGTATCTAATATGGAATTATAATTTATTTTTCTAGTTATGGATACCATTAAAAAAAGAATGTTTTTATTTCATTGCTTTTATATTTAGACTGTAAACTTGCATCTAGAAATTAGTTTGAGAATTATTTTTAACCTGAAGAAATATCTTAAAGAATATGAAATTTGAGTGTAAACTTAAGGTTTTACATTATCTTAAATTATTTACCCTAAAGATAAGGCATAGGCCTTGCCTATTCATGTTTATTTTTTTTAAATCAAGTGAAAGGGAAAATGAGAGCATAAAGTGCTCAGTTTTAATCAGAATTTTGAATTACAGGTTACTTTGATGCTCTGCCTAATTAATACCGACATCTAATTATATATATAACCAAAGAATGATTTAAAATAACAGCTTGGATTTTCCCCCTTCTTATTCTTTCTCTCCCGTCCCTCATTTGCTTAGATTATCTAAGATTATAAGAATATGTGAAGGTTAAAGGTTGTATACTTTCTGTTTTGTGGTGTACTTGAGGGCTGTGTATGTTCACCTGTTCTCACATAGACATTTCTTGAGCTCCTTCAAGGTACACTTGTCTCTGTGCTAAAGACCTGGAGATTACAATGATGAGTAAAACATAGGGTCACTTTTTTTCCCCCTGTGGAGAGGATCATAAGCACGTTTTAAAATAATGCTTATAACAAAGGAAATGATAAAAAAAAAAAAAGCTTCAAAGAAACTAACAGTTGATTTATATGGTTTGTTATCCTACAGAATTACCAATTAACTGTTACTATGGAGCTCGTTAGGGCTCCATAAGCATCCTTCAAACAATATTCAAGAAACCAGAAATGAAGATGATGATCCCAGGTCAATATGACTTAGTGAATTTGTTTGGGATGGAAATTTAGCCAGATGTACTGTTTTCCTCTATATACAGCTTTGAAATAAATGCTGTATTTTCATTTTAATTTATTTTTATTTATGCAACCAATTTAGTTTAAAAACATTTAGAAGTTTCTATTGGCCTATCTCGTTCTCCTTTGTGCGCTTTTATGTATGAAGTTTAATGACTGAGTTAAGCAGTTATCTTTAAACAGTGTTTGTAATTTATTATAGGAGTGGACTTGTCCAAGATAGAAAAACATCCAGATGCAGCCAACCGCCTTCTGAGAATGGATTTTGAAAAAGACATTAAACAAATACTCCTGTTTCTTAAAGATCTGGGTATAGAGGATAACCAACTGGGACCATTCCTTACTAAAAATTATGCCATTTTCTCTGAAGACCTAGAAAATCTTAAGACCAGGTAGGGTTTTTAGAATGATTCTCACATAACAAGAAGTGATTATGAAGGAAATGTATGTGTAAGTTATTTTTTAAATCTTAGCTGCACAAGGATCTATGAGATAATGAACATGAATGTTATTGTTTTGTTTAGACCGACTGATCAAAATTAAGTATCTGAAACATACTTTTTTTATTCAATAACCCATTATTTTTATGTGAAAACAAAAACATAAAAACTTGCTGAGTCAGTACTTAACTATTTATTTTCAGATATAGGAATATATATATTTTTTAATCCATTAACAAATGGCTGGATTATCTGAAAGTACCCTTAAAGTTATGAAAGACTAAACTTTTGTGTTTTTGACTGGCCAGTTTTTGATGATAGGCATTTGACATTCTCTTGGCAGATTACTGTAAAATTTGCTTAATCATTTCCATAAGTTAGTTATTTTGGCTGTTCCTTTTTTTCTTTAAATAGCAATTCTATAAACATCTTTGTGCTTCATTCAACATTTAAAAATTTATTGAATCTGTGATATCATTTCAGTGAGATTGTGTTGATCTGTGACATAGGAATGCCGCTAGGCATTGAGAACAAAACAGTGTCCCTATCTGTAAGTTCCAATTTTGAATTCATCATCACCCCCACCTCTCACCTAAATCAGTTCTTTCCTGTATTCCCAGCTTCACTGAATGAGAGCACTGTCACCCTTTTATCCACATCAGAATTACTGGTGTTAACTTTGACTTCTCTTCTTTTAGCATTCACATCTAATAAATCACCAAATCAATTTTACCTTTTTATATTTCTTAACTCAGTCAATGCATTTCTCTTAATCTTCACTTTGAATACTTTACCTCAAGGTCTCCATCATTTCACATCAAGATTACTTCAGCAGTCTCCTAGCTGGTCTGCCTCTAGTCTTCTCCCCCAGACTATTCTTACACTGATGTTGAGCCTTACTGCATTTCAGAGAGCTTTGCTGTTCCTTGAATCATCATAGTCTAATGGCCCTTTTTTCTGAATTAGGAAAAAACATTGCATTTCTTATATTGAACAATTTGAGCCCTTATTATACTATACATGCAAGGCACTGAGCTAGACTTGAGCCATGTTAGATAGTCAGACTCTCTCTCTTTATGGGACTTACAGGCTGGTGTAATATAGAGTCTATTATAATACAGGGGAGAGAGAGAGTGATTCTAGGAAAGTCACTCTGACATATCCAGATCTGTTCCTCCTGGCTGTCTGGAACACTAATTCCCTCCCATTCAAAAACCAGTTCCTCTTACTGCTCAAGATTTATTCTGAGGAGGCATGCATATTAGGAGTGGGGGGTCATTGGGGGCCATTACAGAGGCTTCCTACTGTACCACTATTATTAATATCCCCATTTTACAGGGGAGGCACAGAGGTTAAATAATTTGCCTAAGATTACATAGCCAGTTTAAGTGACAGGCCTGGTATTCAAACCCAGTTAGTATAACTCCAGAGTCATGGTTACTATACAATACTGTCTCTGTACTTTTAACTCTGTGAAGGAAACTTAAGCTTAAAAGGAATTTAAGTTACTTGCCCAAGATCACACGTGCTCCTAACAACAAAAGAATATTCTCATATAGATAGTAATCTAATGGTTCCCAAACCTGGCTTANAATCACCATTATGTGAATAATATCCTTTAAAAATTTTATAAATGAAACTATGATAGTTTTATTTTCATTTTCAATTTTACTTCAGAGCCTGCGGCGCGCGAGCTGCAGTTTGCTGACCCCTGGTGGCTCTTGCGTCTCAGAAGTTGGCCAACCCTGATCTATACAATTCAGGCTGGTAGAATATGTTCTACTTTTGACCAAGTTAACAAACTATGGTAGACTCCATCTTTATCAAAATGTACTTGAAGTTCAGTTAGTCTATAGAATTCTTAATGTTGATTAAAAATGAAGGAAAGGGACAGGATTTTGTTCAGAACTCCTCCTTATAGAATAGATATGTACCAAGAAATTTCTTACCTTGGAGGAAGAGTGGTTGATCTTTCTAAATAGTCTTAACCTTTCCTTTTAGAAGGTAGAAAATATTTGGACTTCTTAGATGTTTAATCCTGAAATGATCCCAAGATTTAAAAAGCAGCAAATTAGGGAAGAGACTGTCTTTTGTAGAAATAGCTTTAAGTATACAGATTGGAGAGCTAACTTGCTTCTCTCTTTCTACATGGCTGGTTTTAAAGAACTGGACGATGTGCCTCCACTGTCTCCATTGCAGCCAATTTCTGAGGAGGAGGCTGTTCAGATTATTGCAGACCCTCCATTGCCCCCAGATTCATTCACACTTCGAGAGTATGTGGATCACTCTGAGACTCTGCAGAAGTTAGTGCTTCTAGGTAAGTCTGGGTAACCTCCAAGTACCTCTTGAGTCTGCTCTTTATTTCTCTTTTTACTTTGTTTAAATTAGCATTTTTAATATTTATCAAAGTAGTACATACACATTAACAGAAATAGTGTGAAGGCTTCTAGTCCAAAACTACTCCCCCTCGGGGCGGCTGGGTGGCTCAGTTCGTTAGAGCACATGCTGTGAACAAGGTTGCCGGTTGGATTCCCACATGGGCCAGTGGGCTGTGCCCTCCACAACTCGGTTGAAGGCAATTACTTGACTTGGAGCTTATGGGTCCTGGAAAAAACACACTGTTACCCAATAAAAATTTTGAAAAAAGAAAAAAAAACAACTACTCCCCGCTTCATCCTTTCTGACCTTGCATCCAATTCCCTAGAGGTATCTACTGAACTTTTATATAGCTCGTTCTATTTGCATTTAATCTCTAAATGTTTTTGTAGTTATTTATAATGCTGTTAATCTCTTGTATATACACACATACTTTTCCCTTATTCTCTTCAATTCTCCAAATATATTTATATTAACTAGTTTTTGATAAATCATTAGTTAGTGGTTACGTTTTGACTATAAATATTGCTCACTGCTCTCCAGGAAGTAACGCGTGTATGTGTAACCCTAACTGAATACAGCAGTATTATTTGCAATTACTGAACTGATGGGATAAAGCCAACATAGACTGTGGTCACCTAGAAGTTAGAATCATGTAGTATTCATTTTTTTTATATCCCCAGAGCCTACCAGAAGTAGCTGGTCCATAGTAGGAATTCAGTGACTATTTTT